TAAGCATATTGGCATCAGGCGATGAACTAGCTTTTGATCGTTCATGGCTGAAGAAACCACAAAAAAAGAAATCACCAAATATTTTTTATCCATTTTTTTTCACCTGGTTTTCTCTGAACTCATTGGAAACCCAGCCTGCTACCAATACCACCCACCTACTTTTTACCAGATCTGTTAAAAGTTGATTTATACCGAAACTTTTTAAGGTAATGCTTTTCAAACACACCATCCCAATATACAGCCTAAAACTCGCTTTCATCATTGCAAATGTGTGACTAAATGTTGGAGATAGGCTATCATCTCCTTTTCTCAGGTCCCATTTTGAATCAGATTTATTACTTACAAAACCCAAATTGTACTTCGATAGGGCATGGACCACAAATCACAATGAGATCAAACAAAACAAAAGTAAAGTCACTTCTCTCTCTCTCTCTCTCTCTCTCTAGCTGCCTCCCCACTTTATTACTGTTACGTTTGAAATATGTTTCTTCATTGTATCTTTATGTTATGTAAATATTACTGTTGTGTAAATATTTTGGAAAATTGTTTCATGCGAGCTGGACCACATTACTACATATGCGGTCCAAAAAGTGTAAAGCATCCATCTTAAAGATGGATGCAAGTAGGTGTTACATCTAAAAACAATAGAAACTAACGGTCCAATTTTTTTCTGATTAGAATTATTATTTCTAGTTTTTAAACTTTACTTATTTTTCTTAATCATGATCTCCATGTTAAAGATTACCTGTCTTTAAAAATTAAATCCAAAAATCCATCTCAAAAATAGATTTATTAATAGGGCCATTTATACGGGCTGGGCTGCATAGAAACCGGGTTGAATGGTATCTCTTTCAGTACTATTATTTATTGAACTGCCAAAAATAGTACCCCCAAATTGTATTGCGAGAATAAACATTGAAAGAGAGTTGTGGAATCCCTTACCTGAACTTTAGTTGTGGCTGGAAGGTCAAATCAAAGTTATCCACATATTTTGTTCAATGTAACGCTAAATTCAAGGTTACCATCTTATTTTTTTTCCTTGAAAATCTTTTCTAAAAAATATTTACCCGTGTGAATTGGCTTTTATATATTTGTTTGGTGCATATTGCATATGCAAGTAAATCTCATAATAAAATATTTTACTATGAAATGGTCTAATTCATGGTAAAATAAAACCTCACCTCTTGACGTACGAAAACATTTGTTTTCATATAAGGACTGATTATTCACTATTCACTATTTACTATTTACATATAATATGCATATATAATATTTTATTTATATATAAAATAATATATATATTATATTAGATA